ATTAAAAATCACTGAATTGTACACTGAAGATGACCAAATTCTAGGATATGTAACCTATACCTCAATAAAGCTGTTGAAATACAGGTAACAACAAAAGTAGATTTCTAAAATTATGTATGTATATGCAGATATTAAATATACATAGAAATAATGAGATATATACAAAATGCATACATTAATGTAAGATTCAAAATGGCTTATTTAGTTTTTTAAATGCTTATTTGCTTTTGAGAGACAGAGCACATGAGTGGGGACAGGCAGAGAGAGAGGGGGACAGAGGACCTGAAGCAGGCTCTGCACTGACAGCAGCAAGCCCTATGCGGGGCTTGATCTCATGAACAGTCACCTCATGACCCAAGCAGAAGTCACTTAACAGACTGAGCCACCCAGACGCCCCAGACTCAAAATGTTTTTACTTTCTTCTTTGCATTTTTCTGTGTTTTCCAAACTTCTAACAGTGAACATTTATTACTTGGAATGACCAAAAAAAGGAAAATAAAAAATATTTCCAAATCCCTGCCAGATGATAATTTGACAGATGCTGGTGGCAGAGTGTAAAATGAGCAAATACTCTGGAGACATTTTAGTGACGTCCAACGAAATTACAAACGCACGTTCCCCATGTGCCCTAGGAACTGACTACAGCACCGGACAGAGACAAAAGATTAGAAACAGACTACCTGCCCATGAAGAGGAGCGTGGTTAATAACTTATGGGACATCCACACTTAAAACTACTTACTATACAGCCAGAAAATAACAAACAAGGAAGCTCTTTTCATTCAGACATGAAATAATCACCATGGTGTACTGCTCAAGGAAAAGGGTGACGTGTGCAAGAGTATACGTGTTGTCTGAACAAAGCGCTGTGAAAAGACACACACCACCGTGTCAATATACACACATTGTACATGTGCACAGACTACTTCTGGAAGGATGCACCACAACAATAACCTCTACCGCCTCCTGGGAGGGGGACAGGGCAGCTGGGAGCCCTGCCAGCTCTCAATGAATCTTTTTAGACACATTTCTAAACTATCTGAATATGTCGTTAAAAACCAGTAACACTTTTTCAAAAACTTAAGACGCCTCATCCAGTTTTTAAGGTAGGAAAAGATCGTAACAGAACTGTCAGGGGCACGAATCGGAAGTGAGATCTGGGTTCAAACGATACCTGCTTTCCACCTATAAAACTCTGGGCAAGGAGCTTTAGAATCTTTTCAAGCGTCAGTTCTCTTGTCTTGAAAATGGGAATGATGATGACAGTCCTTTGCCTCACGGTTCGGCTCGTGGTGACGACTACAAGTATGTAGAAGCAAGAAGCACTCAGCACAGTGGCTGCCTGGTCCATAGTGATCATGGTTTGCTCTAAAAGACTTTTTCTAGGGGGACAGGAGCAACAAAGAGAACTGACTTTAAAGGTAGCCTTGGATATGAATCCCGCCTCGGCCACTTTCTAATAAAAATAATAACCATGAACATTTAAACAGCTATGTGACCTTGGACAAGTCAGTTAACTTTGATTTCCTATTGAGAAAAGGTCTCAGAATAACTACTACCCAACAGGAGCGCTGTAATGATTAAATGAGGGAAATTTATGCACCGAACGTGTATAAAAGCTTACACACGAGTACTCACCTTGTGCTAAACACCATATATATATATATATATTTTAAGTTTATATATTTTGAGAGAAAGAGAGAGAGAGAGAGCAGAGGAGGAACAGAGAGAGGGAGAGAGAGAGGATCCCAAACAGACTGTACTGGCAGCACAGAGCCTGACATGGGGCTTGAACTCATGAACTGTGACATCATGACCTGAGCTGAAATCAAGAGTCAGATGCTTGACTGAGCCACCCAGGCACCCCAACACCTTATGTATATTAATTTGATCCTTTTATCAACTCTGTGAGGAAATACTATGATTGTTTCTATCTCACAGATGAAGAAATTGAGGGAAAGCGGTTAAGATACTGCCAAGATAAGGTAACTGACAGTTAAGATACTGTCCCACAGTTAAAAGATGAACTTAGTCTGACTCCAGAAGTCGTGACCCTGACTATCACAGACTGCCTTCTAGAAATGCAGATACTGCCTGGCACCTACCAAGTGGTCAAATGTTACCTACGCATTATAGCATGGTTGCGACACAAGGGTATGTAAATAGTGACGCTGGGAATTCAAGGGCAAAAGGGAGGTG